ACTTTACATATAAAATATGAAAGTTTACTATAGAAATGATTTAGAACAATAGTTTAAAGAGTACTTATTAGTTAAATAAATATGTACAACTCATATTTATTTGAATTGTATCATAACTCTATGTTATGCTAAATTTGGTTTGTCCGAATATCTTAAGTAGAATGTAGAATACAAAAAGACTTACCAAATATTTTAAAACATTAAAATATATAAAAATAAATTTTATAATAAAACACGGATTAAATATATTTTTGTTACTTTCAAATTGTCTTGTGTTAAAAAAAGAGAAATTTTAAAAAATACCACTTTTCAAAAATACAATATTTTCAAAATCTTTGCAAAAATGTCACTTTTTCAAAAAAAAATTTCATTATATCATTTATTTTTGGGTTAATTATGTTGTATTAAGGTTTAGTTTTGAGGATTTAAGGGTCAAAACATTTTTGGGGCAATTGCAAAAATCTCATTTTTTAGTGTACATTTGCAAAAATGCCACTTAGGGGTGTCTATTTGCAAAAATGCCCTAATTATAAATTTATAAAGCCAATATCATAAAATTTTAAACCCTAAAAAATGTTTTGACCCCTAAAAACCCCTAAACACTTAAATCTAAACCCTAATGCAACATAGTTAACCTAAACATAAATTATATAATGAAAAAATAATTTTTTAAAAAAGACATTTTTGCAAAGATTTTGAAAGTGTGGCATTTTTGAAAAATGACACTCAGAAAGTGACATTCTTGGAAAGTTTTCTTCATAAAACATATTACAATTTCTTTTAAAAAGTTGTTAAGTCTTTACAATTAATCTTAAAAAGAATATAAATAATTATGAAAATTTTCTAGAATTTTATAATTACAATAATTAATTTCTAAACTATTTTCAAATGAAACTAAAATTTATATATAATTTTAGAATAGAAAATGAAAATCTAATAAATTTAAGTAGTTTTGTGAGATTAATTTTCGTGGGTTTTTTTAGGAAATTTGTAAAAATATTCTAAAAATTTTGTGTATTTTGAAAAGTAACTCATGTTTTAAATCTTTTGAAAATTAATATTTTCTACACTAAAAAGTACCTAAATACCCTACTTAAGTCAATTTATAACTTGTCTTTAATAATAAAATTAAAAACGAAAATAGTCATCGTTTTAGTTTAAGGTGTATTTTTAAAGAAAATAAAATCATCATTTTAACATAATTAACGTTAAATTGGGAATCTTACACACACTGA